AGTTCTGCCCCACCCTGTATAAGCTAGCTAACACATTTAAATTGTATATTGTAATCAATATATAACAAATAGTCAAATAGGTAAAGACTACTTATTGCCTTATAAGAATTAGCTAAGCAGCTAGCTACGTACAATGTATTGAACACTTGATGCCTCTGTACCAAAAACATTCAATTTATTGGAACCTAATACACACTAAAGGCAACAAGTTTATATACCAACTTGTCATTCATAGTACATTTATACTAAACCATGAATAACAGTACCTCAATATAAATTAAAGACTGCCACTCAATATATTTAATTATATGAAAAAATCAAAGAAATCGAAAAAATCAAAAAATCATGATTTTTTATAAAAGAATCAAGTGATTTAATCACATGATTTAATCATTTTGCTTTCATCATTGCCAACCCTGCCTTCAATACCCTTCTTATGGATTCACCAGGGCAAACAAAAAATATTGTTCAATATAATTAAAAAACTAATGAGTAAATTTTTGATAGAACCAATTTTCTGTTTTGAATGAAACCTGCATAAAGGAATAAATTATGACAGCCTATACCTATCAATATACCTATGTATTAGTGACCATATACATCTTCTTTGCCTGTTGCTATCAAAGGCAGTGGCAGCTACAGCTGTGTAAAGATGTGATTGTATCTTCTCACAATGCATATACCGTATTAACTATGTTTATTAGTGACCAGATATACCTTAATTGTCTGTGGCTGTGCAATGATGCAATTGCATCCTTGTGCCTTGCAGCCATGCAGATGTCACTGCCTGCTGTACACAGCTGACTGCACAGATTGATTACATAAAGATGGGGCAATTCCTGAATTCCTGTATAAACTCAGCAGGTCATTGGTTTAGGGAAGCTCATTTTGAACAACAAAATCCCCCCCAAAAAACTTGCATATTCCTGAAAGTAGCCCTCAATGTCTCATCATCAGCCACTGGAGTATCTGTATTTAGCATTTGGAGTGAACTTGTTTGGCTGTTGTATACAACAAATTTTTGTTGTATTAAATTTTTTTTAATACAACAATTTTTTTTTTTTGCTTCAGACTTAAGCAGAGGTACTTTTCCAAAATTTCACTTCTCCCTCTTATTTTCAGGAATTTTTTATAGATGATAAATGTATGATTTCTAAACTTGCTTTGTGCTAGATAGATAGGAAAAATGTTGAACTTTTCCCCACTATTTTTAGTGTTGCAATATTTTACTTAGTTTAGCTGTTACATTTGTACAAAATGTCAAAGGAAACAACACTACCCCGTTTTATGGTAGTGTTATTGAAGGTAGCTTTAGTTTTGGCACTGTAATTATTCCAGTTTGCATTTGCAAAATTCATGAAAGCGTTTTCAGAGCTGCAGTTAGCTCAGTAGATGACTTGCGTCTTGGTGTAGATCAGGAGGCAATCATATGATGCAGTAGTCATGGTGGTCCAATCCAAGAGTGTGATCAGAGTGTCAGTGGCAGGAATGAGTGAGATTATATCTGTTGGGTTGCCCTGACCGACCTAATCAACATCTGGGCTGACTTTGCTATGCTATCACTATTATTTTTCTATTTGCTAGGTACCAGTGGAAAAGCATTTCTAATAAATATAAAAAATCATAATATTCTGCTCCAAGAAGCAATGGCTTCTCAAGCTGGTTGTGATGATATTGAACAAAGCCTATTGACAACTGATGAGCAAGGCTACACTGCTCTTCATCATGCAGTAATGGCAAGTGATCTCGCAACTTTGAAGAAACTTCTGTCATATGCAGGTAATTTAACAGTAATGTTTTAAATGTGTTTTCAAAGTTATAAAAAGTAATCTTTTAATTTTTCAAGTAAGGTTATGTGGAACTGTTTTTGTTGTGCTTATTCCAGTGTTGTTAGTTATGACATCTCTATACCATGAACTTGACAGAATTTTCAATGAAATTATTTAACCAATCACTACCTTCTTCAAAATGTTTTAAGTAATGAGGTCCTACATACACCTGCAGCATGACAGCACTTCACTGAACCTTGATCATTTCAAGCAAGTCACTTGTCTTCTTCTTGCAAATAGGTACTTCCCATACCATAGCTTATAATAATTTTTTAATTATTCACAGCAATTTTAGAGCTGAAATAGAGCAATGTCATTATTAAGTATTAGGTTGCATGGGCAGGAAATTCTCTCAAGACAGGCAAATCCACTAACCCCATGAAAATGGCTGTAGACCTAATTATAATGAAATTAAAGTGAAAATTGTATGAACCAATTTCAATCATTATTTTTTCACATTTTACTATAAATTGAGTGAAATTGTAATGTACTAATCAAAATTCTGGCCATACCTTCTTAAAGGTGAATAACATTTAATTTTAGTCCATATCTGATGCTACTGTTCCTACTGTCAAAAAGCCTCTGCTGCTGTTGCTGCTCAGAAATTGCACGAGGTTCTTTTTTCCTTGTGAATAACATTCCAACCATCACAGAGATTTTCTAAGCACAGAGCAGGTCTCAGGACAAAATTTCCTGCACTTTCCATTACAAAACTTTGCAAGCAACATTGTGTGTAGTTATTGTCTTGTCTGTTGCTTTTGCTATCAAGACTCTCCACAATAATGATGAATGATTTTGTAATTGTTACATGGCAGCTTCTTATGCAGGCTCAACATAAAATCAGATGGGAGCTATGTTACTGCTCCTGTTTATCATTTACATTTAATTTATTTGGTTCAGTTTTAGTACTACGTATGGTATTTGTTAGCAGCAGAGAATTGAAGTGATAGTAAACCAATCCATTGCTTCAATAATTAGTTATGAAGATATACGTACTATAGTCAGCTAATATGTTACTTTCCATCAATGTTCAAATTGTTCATGGCAGATGAAAGGTGCGTCAACATGGAGAGCCATGATCGGTCCACTGCGCTCCTTCTGCTCTGTAAAAGATTCACTCCTGAGTCGCAGACTGACTTGCAAACTGAGGTTTCTATCTAGCGCATTTAATAATTTACATTATTTTAAATTGAACTGTCCCTTGTTAGAAATTAACACATACATGCTAGTAGCTAGAGGAGCAAAAACTTCATTTATGATATGCTGAAATTGCATATATAGCTGTTTGTTTCCACTTTGTTTTGTGTTACAATCAAGCAGCATATTTCTGTTGTAAAATAATTCAAATTATTGCAGACATGATGACCCTGGTTGTGTTCTTTAAAAATAATAATATCTAATGATATTTTGGTTGAAGAAATGTTATTATTTATGCTGATAATTTTGCAGCTTTTTTCAAGAGCTAAGCTTTGGCTTATTATTTTTAAGTGCTAAGCTAAGCTTTGGCTTATCCTTTCATTGTGAATTTCATTTTCTTTATTCCTTTACTTGTTAACATTTTTCTAGGAAGAAATTCTGGTGAGCCTCCTAGCTGCTGGTGCAAATCCTAATCTGCCTCAACCTGATCCAGTTTCCTTACCTCTATTTGCTGGTTTTAGCAGGCTGGACCATGTCGGGTCACTCGGGTGTGGTGTTCTTGTTCACAAACTTCTTCATGATATTTTAAATCTGCCAGCTTATTGCTCTTCTCTGTGTGAGAGGTAACACGCACCAACATTTGTTCCTGGACCGGTCTTGCAAATTGCAATACCTGTAAGAAGTGGATCTGGACGGCGGATAGCATCCCTTCGTGCTTCAGTGTGGAGCGCCGCCGTGCACCACCAATTTTGTGCACCAAAAAACCCTGAATCGAACGCCTTGGATCTCTCCAGACCTACACCAATCAGCTGTGCACTACTCAGCTTTGTCCACTTCCGGCCTTGACCACCACCTGCCGTGCACCACCAGGCCGCGGATCGAATCTGACTTCCGGGCATCGTTAAAATACGTAATTTTACGTTCACTGCATCTGAGGTTAGGTTCCAGATAGCATAGTTCTGTTCCAAAATTTATCGTCCTTCGACATGCGGCCGTTCGACCGAGGGCTGGTTCGACCCACGGCCTAGATACGGACGACTTGAAGTGTTGAAGGCTACGTTCCGGAAGGCAGGAATCATGATGGTCCATTACATCCAGGGCAGTGGTGGTATTCGGCAGGCGACCCCTTCAGTGCAGTGCTGCCAGCGCTAGGGTTTATAAACTCAGATCTAGGTTTTTAAGCTTCCAGCTATGTTTCTCTGTTTTTAATTTACAAACTGATCTAAATATAAGTTTTTTTTAGAATGATGCACTGAAAACAAAAATCAATCAATTATTATTGCAAAGAAAGCGGAAATACTACTTGATATAATTTTTAATAAATGTTCGTACAAGTTCGTACAGTTCGCGTGCGAGTGGGTTAATAATTAAGTCACCACCCAGTTCACCAATAATAATAATATAATAATAAGTCACCACCCAGTCGAGAGAGCATGTAATTTCAGTTGTATTGGAGCAGTGGGATGCTTTGATTCTTTACTTTGAATCGCAGGCAAAAACTGATAAATTTTATGGAAATCGTAAAATTTATGATTTACTAATTAGTCGCGACACGAAACATATGCTATGTTTTGTTCAATATGTTCTGAGAAAGTCGATGCACTCAACTTGGAATGACAATCTGAAAATTTTAGGTTGCATGTCCTTCACTCGATGGTATATGCTGGATATAAAAATATATTAGGCTATTTCATTAATGAATAATGCTTGACAAAATCAAAACTATATGATGTAGATCCAAGCTATAGCAAACCATTCAAAGCTCTTGAAGATATATTGCTTATAGTGGTAGAACAATGGCAGTGTTGGAGCAAGAGCCCCTAGCGCGCTGGCTAATGATGACATTCTCGGAAAATTCAGAAAATACTTTGAACTTCTTGGTAGGATTTTGTGTACAAATCACACACAGATTTTCATTTGATGATAGAAGCATTATTGCACAACTTAACATTTTAAACCCACAAGTTTTGTCTGTAATTATTCACTTTTTCCATTGCAACATTAGCGCATTTAGCGGCATAGTTAAAAAACCAGGAGCCTGGAGATAAATTAAATGATCTTGACGATGAATACCGAAGCTTCAAAGTAACCAAGGACTTCACCTCACAGAGAACAACAGAACTGTCAGGTCAGCATTCCGGAATTTTGGCATAGCCTTAGATCCATAAAAGATAGTCTTGCCCAACCCAAATTTGATTTTATTTTTCAAAATTTATTACAAATTTGTCAGTTCTTCCGCATGCATCAGCCTGCGTCGAGAGAATTTTCTCTCAAGTTAATAGCGTGAAGACTTGAAAAGACAAACTCTTTGATAGCCGCAATTACCCGAGACCGAATCCTTGCTAAACAAACGTGTACCGGTGTACGTAAGTACGTAACGTGGTCAGTTACAGGAGAAAACCAGCGTTGCCAGATGGTATATTTCTATACCAGATTTCACAAATCTGGTATTTTCAGAAGGTGTCTGGTATGAACATTTCAGATCTGGTATATATGCCTAAATCTGGTATTTTTCTGGTATTTTCTGACTTACTGCAAATTTACTGCATTAAGTTCCACCTCTGAAGTTTGAACTTCCTCCAGCGTAGGCGTGGATTATATAGATTGCCTTCAGAGCGGCGCGATTAGAG